CTACTATATATATATATATATATATATATATATATATATATATATATATATATATATATATATTTTCTTTTATAAATATTACAACAAGGCCTTACGTTGCAGAATATGACGCCATCGAAACACATTAGAATAAAAAGTCCAACGAAACCATCACCTACAAAAGTTGGCAAGTAAGTTGTTTTTTTCCATTAAATTCTTTTTTAAGCTTTCTTTTTGACCTTAATGAATTACGAGAAAATTTAATATCCTAGCTTTCTAATGTTGTCTAATAAGATTGGAACATATCGGTGTTTTTTTTCTTTTTGGCAGTCGACGCATATTCATGTTTTCATATGATTTGATCTGCGTGCGACAACACTGGATGGTTTTATGTTGTTTCTAATCTTCTAGTTTTATCTAGTTAGCGCTTGTTCCCTTGGAGTTTTATGAAAAGTCGAGCAGAAGGGATGCAAGAATTTAACTGTATTTTAATAACACTGTGCTATTAGTAATTTGTTAGTGGAAATAGTTTTTTTTCAGGAAGAAAAAGTATTCCGCTGGTGCACAGGCCGACAAATGTGATTTGACTGAGAATTCGAAGTGAATTTCTCTTTTAAACTTTAGAGTAATTCAGTCATGCTATAACGTCTGAATTAATGATTTAACTTATTTCACAGAACTTCTCAAAGTTTTGAATTATTCTGATAATCATTTGTAATATTTTGATTATTTTTTGCAGAACATTTATGAAATGTGGTGAACGGCGCATCAGTGCAACTCCATCACAAACCAGTGCTGTGTATCCCGTGAGCAGTAGTCCAGTGTCGGTTTATTGTTCAACGGATGAATTGTCCTCTGGAAGACGAACACCGTATGAAAAATTATCGGAAGCGTCAGATTCAGGAATGATGGAAAATCCGTTATATATATTACCGAAAAATTTTTCACCTCGTGATCGAGCATCGACATCTGCATCTCGGATTTTCTTCAGGTAAATTTTGTCCCAACTGTGAAACAGTCGGCAAGCCAGTCAAGAGTGAGTTAAAATAGTTCAGAAGATGATATGGTGGATGGCGCAGGTAACTCCTATGAATGATAAAACTTAAGCAATTAGTAAAAGCGCTGTTCTGTGGTTTTTTTTTTTTCTTTCACTCTGTCCATAAATCATTTCTTTCAGCGGAACTACTCAGCGTACCTCTAAAAGTCCTTCTTTCTTTACTTCGTTAGATGATCGACTTAGTAGCAGTGGTTTGAGTACAATTGAAAATCTTTCGTATAAACCACCGAATGAAATGAAAGTTTCACGCAGTACCATGACACAGAGTAAGTTTTGTGTTGTTTGAATTATATTTGAGCAGAGGCCTTTCATGAAAGAAACTGTACCTTAAATGAATTAGATTTGCTAACTTGAATCCTAACTTGAATTTGTCATGAAATATTCAGTATCTGCTATTCTTATTATTGAGATCGCACATTAGGTTCAGTTTAGGTGTTCACTGTTATTTTTCAAAGTGTCAGCTGAAACATTGTATATCTCCTTTTTGTGACCATGATAAATGTTAATGGTATACACTGCAAAGCTGTCAGTAGCAAGTCTGATCAGTTTTAAAAATGTAATTTTTTTATTCTAAGAAATTTGTTTCCTTATTCATATATAAAAAACATCGTTTTTAGTAACCTTAGATAGTCCCGTTGAAGGAGGCTTAGATATGGATACTACAAAGCGTTCGTTGAATTCACTTAATAGTGAAAGTGGTTTGTTTCCAATTTGTATTTCCTGACTTAGAATTTTTTTCAAGCATTTATTCTATAATCCTTTATACAGATTAGCTATGTAGCTGTACATATATATAAATAACACAACACTAAATATATTAATGCATTTCAAAAGAGATGATTTTTCTAAGTCCGCTTGAAAGGAAATCAAAAATTCTGACTTTTTTTTTCAAATTTTTTCTTCAGTTTTTTTCTCCAATTTTTTTTTCAGCTTCATTCTGTGAAGACTCATCATTGTTCGCAGATCTATCATTACAAGATGCAGCATTGAATGTTAACGATTTATATGTACCTATGTCGACAGTAGAGCAAAATGTGGTATGTTTTTTTAACTAAAATACCCTTGATATCATACTGGAATTAATGCCGTTCAATGAAATCGTATATCCTAGCTCCATTGTTCGAGAATTAGATTGATTTTAAGGTCCAGAATTATTCTAGAACTGCCAATACCAATAAAAGAGTTAAAATATCTGTACAGAATAGCCCACCAGAATTAAAATTAACCTTAATTAATGTGTCAACTTAGCATAACTTGCAACTTAGCATAACTTGCATAACTTGCAAATCGAATGCTACTTCTTTTATAGTCAAGTATATCTCCGCGATTTCTTGATCAATGTAACGATCAAAAAGAAACTTTTATCCACGGTGATGCCGTTCATTATATCTCTGAAAGGTGAGGTTTATAGGCACTTTTGGAATCCAATAAAAAACATTTTCAATGAAATGTCATTTCTTTTGGTCTGTATTCACCAAGAACTTTACAATGATTTAGAAAGTGATATACGACATAATAGAAAGTGCGAAATGAGATGATTACTTGTCCGATACGATGTAATTTATCGAATTTGCACTGACAAGTATATTTCCTTCTTTAGTTTAATATTTAATTAGATTAAATCAGTATTGCAGTGCACAGGTCGGGTGTGAGTATCCACCTGAGATACACGCACCAATCCTACCCAGAACATCCGTAGGGTATCAACCACAAAGGCCGTATACGTTGGATCTCACTTCGCCACCTACTCCAGCTGAAAGTGGGATAAGCACTGCAGGAAGTTCTTATCGTAGTTTTTCCAGTACCGACCAAGGACCACAAGATCATGCTCCACCTCCTGTGGATATCGGTGCGATTTCATTTTCACGAAATCACATTGTCATCTCTGCTTACATCGGGTTCATTTGATTAGAAAACATCATCTATTTAAGTAGAGTCGAATATTTCGTTTAAGAGCTTGCACAGATTTGTTTAAATGCATTCAGTGACTGAAATATTAGCAAGATGTCAGTTATGGATATGGAATTTTATGAAAATTTTCGATTCTCGTGAAAAAGTTCCCGCATAATATAAAGTATTCGTTAGTTTTCAGTTTCACGTCTGGCCCCGCCAATACCACCACGAAATAATGCAAGGCGTCCTGAAGATGAAACTACGGCATTGCAACGTCAACGATTAAGTCCCGTTTCGCAATCACCTTAAAGGTTAATGTTGATAATAGGTTGGGAGCGGAATTGCATGTGCATCTTCGATTTTCATCGTCAACCTCCAGTGATGCTAAAGCTTATTTTCTGTTTCCTTTTTTCGTTCGTTTGTTTATAAATATTAACCAATTTGTTGTGTAATTTGTCATTCTAAGTCATTCCTTGTTGTGCTCTAATGTATGGAATATTTTCCCATGGAGAAGAGACAAATAGTCCATTCTTTTTTCTCTTATTTCTCGCTCATAGAAATTGGGAAGTTTTAACTGAGCCATAAATTGCGAGTCATTCACTGCAGTTTCCCTCTCGAACGATATTGATTACTTGAGACCTTTACATGCATATGTAGCGCTTTACTTTTTACTAGTGCAACTTTTTTATTTGTTTTCATCAGTGTCTGTCGCTTCTTCATTTCTGTCTAACTTTGTAACTAATTAAATCCGGTTTTTCAGATGAAAAGTTTTTTAATTGATCTGTAAATTGAAATTTATTCAACTTGTAGGTATTTCAGATAATCGTGATTATTCCGGTTATAATAAAATAATTGTAATGAGGTATCTTAGTGAGCCTTAATTATCATTCTAGCTCTCTTTTATTTGTACCTCCGAAATGTTAAGATTTGAAAAAAAAGAAAAAATTGTGACAAAAGTACATCAGAATAGGGGACAAAAAATAATGTCTGGCGCGGTTGCATACCTTATTCTTTTGATATATCTTCACGGGGAATATTTCTTTAAATATTCGATTATATCAATCATTTTCGAAATATAAATTACGTGTTTCAGATACTAGGTGCTAGTTAGGATGCATTTAAAACATGGTAAAATTCTTAGTTAATCTAATAAAGGTGATACCAATTTATTAGTTTATTAATTTGGGAGCATCAGCTATCATTATCCGACAAACTTCCTTCCGTATTCGTTTATTTGCCAAGAAACAATGATTCAATTCAGATATTCATTTATCTACCCATGTTTAGTGCACTTTAATACACGCTTCATATGTAGCTATTTCAGGTCATTTTTGCTTTAGGATTCAGAACGAAGCTTCATTTCCGCTATAAATGGGTATAATCTTGGGTAAGAAATGGGCAAATTTTATCCTTCCTCTTGTAATGCAAAGCTGACGCCGAAAGCTTTTGTTTAACAATCCGGATCTTTTCTGACGAAGAAAGCAATCTGAGCTATCCGGAATGTCATTTACCAGATAATACTTACTGCACAATATTGTACGACAATATTGTGCAGTAAGATTTTTACAAATAAATTAACGACTTATTTGTCAATCAGTGCCAAGCAGTGTGCAACGATTATCATTTCTTTTGTTGCTGTTTGCTTCTTTTTTTTTCTTTTTTTGCTGTCTAATGTGTGTCACGAAATATTTTGTAATTAAAAAAGAAAACTGATTGATCATTTTATGGTACACAACCATACTTATTAATGCAATATTATGCAGTATGACTTTTACAAAATAAATTTTAAAATACCAAAGTTCCTATTACCTGTTTTATCATTCTTTTTCAAATGGTAATCAAACCATATTCCATATCTCTAACGATGTCTTATCAAAAACTCACATAAGGAGATCATAGCATATCGCATATCTCTAAAATAGAAGATTTTAAGCTGATAAGATTTTAGCTACAACAACAAATATTCACATTCTTTTTGATGTTTTCAAAGTTGTTGCTCTCCTCCCTTTCCATGAAACATTATCATTAGTCCAACTAATTATTATCACTGATTTATCATGATAATCATTAGATTATCATTAGTGATGTCAATGATTATCATTAGCATTGATATACAATCAAATAATTGAATGCTACAAAATATATTCATAGCATGCTTGGAATCGTGAATACGATCCTGAATATGGTTAACAGATGCAGGTATGCGTGATGATCGTCAAATGTTCAAGTTACTGTACGTGATGATCACTTATCTCAACTTACATATATTTTGAATTATGTAATTCCATTGAAGTATAGTGCGAAACATTTTTTTTATTGACGGGATTAAACATGGTTTAGTAATAATTGTATCACTTAAACTTTATACTGTTCGTTATTATTTATAATTTTTTGCTTACAATGCCATCATCTTCCATATGATTTTTGCGCAAATTTGATTTGAAACTAATTTTTTTTAGCCTTTCAAGATAAAAAGAAGAATGAATAGTATAAACGTTATCTGTCCCAATTCTCGTCGTTGTGTGGTTAAAGTAACACCATCAACTCAACTTCATAAAGTTTGCTTCATAGTAATTTTGTCGAAAGTTATAATTATTAACTTCTTAATTAGTAGCTAAAATAGATTCATATTTTTGATAGGAATTAGGGCAATATGTTGCAATCTGCTTTGTCATAACATTTTCCAATTAGTTTTAACTTTTCATGGCGGGAAAAGGAAGTTAGGAGGTGAAACTAATTCTCGTTTCTTTATTCATTAATGTTCGTATTTATCATGGGTCTTATGCAAATTTTAGCTATTTTCTAGATTAATTGTCACATTGCTGATGTGCAATTTAGCATATTTTTCTTTTCAGTTTTACTGTTAAAGATTTCTTCAGATTTTGGAGGAAGCTTGTCTGAAGCAAGGGTTCGATATATCGAAGCATCAGTTAAAGCATCAGAATCATATACTAGATTTGGCGTTACCGCTTCGCCTCACTGGTTTGCCTAATAATGCTACCGTGGAGATGGTGCAAAGTATCGATGTTGGTAGTGGAATTCCAGTACGGATTCATATTGCCCTACAGGTATGAGTACTTGAGTTCATGCAATTATCGATTAATTTATGAGATTATTGGATGATTATTGTATTTGTTATAGGGAAATATATATATACATATATATATATATATATATATATATATACATGTATAAGATTTCGTCCTTCATGTATCACAATATCTAGTACTTGGGTATGCAGTATTATGAGTATTGGATTTTCGGTGCTATTCTATATAAGATACAGCCTAGTCTCAGTTTTTCAAAACATGAATCTTCCGCTCAATTTTAACCCATTTTTTTGTTATACAGTCGATGAAAAAATCACATATGAAGTTACTTAACTTCGAAGTGATTAGAATAGTCTAAAGTAAGCTAAGGTTTGCCTAGCATTTTAGATTAATAGTTTTATATTTAACATCTTTGTTTTTGTGTATAATATCACTATTGGCTTGATAGGGGTAGTTCATTTACAGATAATGTAAAGTGCTGACAGGTTACGAAAAACAATTCTAAATTAAAGCTATTTTTAAAATTTTAGCTTCCGGATGGGTCTCGTTTCATGGGAGAATTTTCAAATAAAGCAAACCTATTGGACGTTTTGAATGAATTCTCTCGAAAATCAGCTCAGGAGTTGGTAAAATGTACCAGTGGTCAAGTACCGTGTTGTGCCTATATGAATAAAGAGGTTTGTTTGTGGTATATGACTGTTGAGTATCGAACAGTATTAGTAAACTTAGTATTGATATTTGACCCTCTTGGAATATATAAATTTAATTAAGCAACATCTTTATTGTTGTTTAAACGGAGTCCGATACCACAGACTTTTTTTCCTTCTCTTTGATTTGAATCCTGCTATTGATTCAAACTTCTGGTTGATGTCAAACTAGTAGAATCCCGTAACTTCACATGTCCTTACTTACATGGTAAAGTTTTGACGTTATGTTATTTCACTTATCTGTGGTTTTTAATTATGTTAGTTCATATTTTATAGTACCGCGGGGAAGCAGAACTTAAGTTGACGACATTGGAAGCAATGGGAATAACAGGTGGACGCTCTTTGATCAGGTACCTCGTTATTTCATCGTAAACTCTCACCTTTCTGAATCCACTGGTGCAGGTTTTCTAATTGTTTTAGCTAAATTTGGTAACGCTACTTGAATTAGTATCCTTTTCTCCCACCGTAGGGAGGATAGGATATTAAGGCAACCTAAATCATGCATTTGTTACTGGAACTTGAACTATAATTGGATCAGTATGTTCCGATTTCGAGAGTTTAGCTGGTGTAGAAATTTTCAGGTATTTCGCGATGAATATGTCACAGGATGAAATATCGAGGCTCGAAAATCGCCTTGCTGAAGAATCTGAGCGAAGGAAAAAGTTGGAAAAAGTATATGAAACAAGGAAAACGGAAAATGAACTGCGGTTACAGATAGAAAATGAAAGGGAAGAGGTATTACTTTGCAGAAATAAAATTTTTGTTTTACTGACAATGTCGATTAAATTGTTTGATAAAAAAGGGATTATCTGAAATCGTAAAGAAAGCCAATTATATTTAAACATATGCTTGAAAGCATTAAGAAAAATTTCGTTTATGCCTTCAGCGATTAGTGCTTAAACTGAGAATTCATTATAAGGAAAAGTGCCACTTATAAAATTATTAAGTGAATCATTGCTGCAATCTATCCTATTCATGTTCATCGTAAAAGCTTAGAAAAATTGAGCTGTTTATCTGCTAGTTGTGCACACCTTTCGATGTATACATTAACTTGTAATTTTCTTATATTATACAATTTTATTTGTAATTCCGTTTGCTTAAACAATTCCCTAACATAAAGCATGTATTTAAGTGAAGTTTTTATGTTCGTCTTTATTTCTACAATCTTTTCTTGATTCTAAATAATTATTCTTTATCTCTTCTCATTATAGCCTATTGTTTTTCTGCAGTAAAAATATATCTAAAAATTGGAATAACGCATTTATCAGCGCATTCATGGAGAACTATGCATTTTTTTTTAGATTTTTGAACGCGAACTTAGAGAGAAACGTGAAACGGAGGCAGCTTATTTGTTAAAGCATGATCAAGAAACTAGGAGGTAAGGTGCTTAAATCTTCAATCACTTTTCCTCCCTTCCGCTCCCTCCTCCTCCTCTAAAAAAAAAAAAAAAAAAAGAAAGATTGCATCATCTTCCGTTCTTGATTATCAGTAATAGCGCTTGTTAGTACCAAAATATTTTAATCTGACCATTAATATTGCTTACAGAAACCTTGAAAATACACTTCATACTATGCCACTATTATCGGGAAATCTAACTCTAAATGCAAGTGAACATGTTGCTGTATCTGAAAGGCATCCTCAAGCTTCATCACGCCTCAATCAGCTGCAGTCTCTCCTTAATCAAGTATTTCCTATTTACTTCACATGCGAACATTTAATACTGTTGAATTCCTGAAGATCGAACGCTATGTGTTCAGTGTGTGAAAAAATCTTCATTTCCTGAAAATTAACAAATGAGTTGATGTAATTGATTTTGATCGTAGCTTCATCTAATTATCTTTCTAAACCTGTTCTGTTTAGTCCATTCGCTTTTTAAAATTTTATTGCGCCATTGACAAGACTATTTTAGGCTTGTCTCTTTTGAAATACTAGAACTCTTTTATCATACATCCAATTTATCAGTTTCCATATTTATGGGCCCTATTCCCATTCCTATCGAATGAATAAAGCACTAAAATAAGAAGTTAGTGAGAAATCGCTCACAAGAAATAAGCGAAAAATGCTTCAGACCTTGCCGGTGTGTATTTAATGCACTGCAGGTAAATACCAGTTTAGCCACGAATACGGCTGATTCTCTCGCTGAACAGCTTATTGATGAAGATGGCAGAATACATATTAGTGATTTACAGACAGCAGCGCGGACACAGAATGATCATCAAAGTGTAAGTTTTTGATTTTCACTTTTTGTTAAAAAAAAATTCACTTTGGAGTACATCGCATTTTCTCGTTGTTAATTCTATCCATTTAAGCTTATTTGCCTGCCGTTTGACTGATTTTAATTGGCTTTTTGCAAATAAATAAATAACCGTAAAATTGCATGATGAAGATAAAAGTTATAGCAACATATTTGTCCGAGTAATCTCGCAACAATAACAATGAAAATATTCGATTTCTTCACTCTTTTATTGAGAAATGTTACAGAGTAATGTTTGCAACTCTATTACGTCCTCTTCCGAAGTGTCATATTTAACTGTTGGAAAATGTAATCGCATGCCCGTTATCATTAGACAAGATTTGGAATCGAGTGAAAATGTAAGAGATGCAATCGGAATGCGAGATGATATTGATGATCAGTTTTTCGAACTTACTGTCAACGATATACGCAGTATTCGTCGGGATCTCAGAACAGAGGCGTTTGTTTTTTAGTTTTAAATAAATAAAATTAGTAGGCCATACCATATGTTTAGTGGTGATACTGGTGCAAGGAATATCTTAGTTTAAATATAGTTTCAATGGAGTATCGTTATGTTGTAATATGTTTTAAAGCAACAAGAGTTGATAAATCACTGTAAAAGAACTAAAATTTGTGATGACTGGGTGGAATTAATGATTGTTGGTAGTTGATGAGAAAACAGAAACTGTTAATTGACATCGACACCGAATACTGTTTTATTTTTTGATAAACTTCTCAGTGTACTATAAAATTAAGTATAAAAAATACTGGTAGATGTAGTTGAGCTAAAACCAGTGTTATTTTACAAGAATTAGCGTCAATTAAATTGTGTTAGATTTCTTATACATTTCGAAGAGTGAATGTATGAATTCATTTTAATGAGTAAATTTTCAGAGATATACAAGAGCAAAGAGCTTTCCTACCGAAATCATATATCAATGCAAAGAATACGCGTCTAAAAGAAGAAAGTTACAAGCATACGGTGGTACGATTCAATTGTATTGATAAGACGATTATACAAGCTCAGTTCATCTCACGAGAACCTGGTTATTTTTATAATTGCTAATATATATTTGAAATTTCACAACAAAATTGGATCTTGCGTCATATTTAGCTAACGATGCATTTTTTCCTGTCAATGGTTGAAAGTTTTTATATCCATGTTGGTATTCTTGTGTTTTTTATAGCGTTTCATTTCCAAAATTGTCATCAACTAAAATAAATAAATATAATCTGCCTTTCAGTCTCGAGATTATTTGAGTTTGTAACAGAAAATTTAAAAAATCCAATGATAAAGTTCGATCTCTGTCTTGCAAATCAAAGGCTTCCGTCAACCACTTCGAAAAATTTAATTGAAGTTGGTGTTGCTCCGAAATCTTCGCTGTATATACGATTTTATTCACCGGAAAATACATTTGGTAATTTCTCTTTGCATTTCACATGGTCTAATGCAATCTCAGTAAAAAAATTCAATTTTTAGGTAGCTGTTGTGAGTGATATCAATAGGTACGGTAGCCAATCTTCATTATGATCAAAAATTTTATCTGAAACCATTCATTTTCTTTGCATTTATCTCATCTACGGTGCTTAATAAGTTAATGAAGCAACATAACAGTGCTATTGGTCAGCAATCTTTATATGGTCGTTTCAAAGAAATTGTTATTATAGTTGTCAAATTAAATTGTTATACTTTCTGTCTACTGATGGTTTGATGTAGCACATAGCATTGTATGAAAAAATTTTTTAAAACTTTCTTCACCAAAAAAGGATTCTGAATATCTTTGTTTTTTTTCAGCTGCTCATTTTGTGCAGGATAAATTTTGTGAAGTTCCCATGCCTGAAGCTGATGAGCTAAGCCGCGAGTGGTATGTTTTGTCATGACTGTTTGGGAGTAAGTCTGATTTACTTTTTCATAGAATTATTGTCTTTGATTCC